CCACCGTATACTGTCAGCAGATCACAGCAACTCCCTGCGGACTAGTCCTGCATCCACCATAATGCATCCCGAGAACCAAAAGACGACTTTTATTGGAATAACTGAATTTCCTCCAACTTATCCTAAAAAAGTAAAACCGCACAAGGGGTGATGATTTGACAGCCACAGGAAAGGCCCCACTCCCCACCTCTGAGACTCCAGAAAAGCAGAGGCTGGCCAGGCAGTGATGTAGGTGGTCCCACAGCCTAGGTCTAGTGGTGGAGCACTCAGGAAGAGGCTGAACCAATGCCAAGGGATCTGCCACCAGAACCAGAGGGACGGGGAGTAGAAAAGGAAGGAGATAATCATGACTTGGCTCTGATGTACCTCACGTGGGTGGGGGGGCGGGTAGGAGGACAAATCCATAGAGACAGAAAGCTTATCGGTGGTTGCCAGGGGCTGAGGGGAGGAGGGGGTGGGGAGTGACTGCTTAATGAATACAGGGTTTCCTTTTGATGGGATGAAAATGTTCTGGAACTAGATAGAGGTGGTGGTTGCACAACATTTTGAATGTACTAAATATCACTGAATTGCACACTTTAAAAATGGTTAAAAGGGTAAATTTTATGTTGTGTGTATTTTACCACAATGAAAAAAAGATACTTTCAGATGCAGTAAATGCTATGAAGACAATTAGGCAGGTGTTGTAAGAGAGACTGGAGGGTCAGTGAAGAGCCCAATGTTTAACTGAGAAATGAATGATGGGACGGAACCAGCCTCAAGAGGAATTGGGAAAAGAGCACTCCACGCTGAGGGACACCAGTGGGTGGAAATTAGGTTGAGAGTGGGCGGTGGCCAGTGAAAAGCATTCACCTTTTCTCTGAGTGCAATGGAAGCCACCGAGGCAGGGAGCTGCCTGAGCTAGGTAGTACTTTAAAGGCCCTTCGGCTGCTGTGTGTATAAAGTGGGGGGGGGGGGGGGGGGGTAGGGGGACCACTGACAACACGGCTACATTAGGAATGTGTGCAGGCAAGCACAGGGCTCCAGGCAGGGCTGGCGTTCCAGGTCAGAACTTCCACGCCGGAAAGGGAACACAGGGAGGCTGGGAGGGCTCAGGCCCAGCAGGCTGCCAGGGTTCCTGGACGGTTCCCGGGAAAGAGAGAAGGCAGATGCCCCGTGAGAAGAACTGCCTCCCACAGCTTTCACCAGGGCATGGACGTGGCCCTCCTGGGGCACCAAGGCCAGGGCAGATAGGCAGCAGGAGTGAGTCAATGCTGAGACACAGAGAGGATGCTAACGAGGGTGTCTCCCTCCAGCCCCAACTCAGGGCTGAGCCTGCAGAGAGGGGGGTGCCTAGGATGGGAGCTGCCTCTTGACCCGAGCCGTGGGGCATGGAGGCAGCGGGGGCTGGAGCCCAGCAGGGCTCCATAGGCTGGAATAGCGGGCAGGCCAGCGCGCCAGTGAGCCAGCACAGGAGGCATGCGGGGATTCTGACCCAGGGCTGGCTGTGTGGGTGAGAAAGACCGAGGAGGGGAAGCCACCCACTCAGTGTGTGGGTTGGTTCACAGCGTGGCTGGTGTTGGCCACATTAAAGGAGAAAGCAGAAGGAGGGGGGTGGGGAAGGCCATCTGGTTCCCAGGCAAAGGACATCCAGACGGATAAGGAAGTGGTCACGGAGGAACCAGTTTAACACTGACATGAACTGTCAGTCATGGCAGAATGGACAGGTCCAGGTGGGGAAGCTTCCTGGGTCACAGCAGCAGTGTGAACACGTGTCCTGAGTCCTGTGTCCCAGGCAACACCCAGCTCCAGCCCCAAGAAACTGGGATAAGGAGCAAGCACAGAGGGGCCTGCAAGGTTGTGAAGGCTGCAGCTCCTGATAGAGCTGTGGGTTCTTGTGGTGGCAAAAGGGCACTGAGACAGAAGACATTGCAAAGGTCAGAGTGATGCTGAAGGGCTCGGCTGAAATCTAGCAGAAACAAGCATTACAACACGCCTTCCCAGGGTCTCAGCATAGCCGCACCAATTTCTGCCAAACCTCAGAGTTTGTCAGAAACGTGACAAAACAGCAAACGTGATGGTAAATGAGAAAACGACCCGAGCTGAGGGTCTGCGTCTTCCAAAACATGGCAGAAGATTCGCACCAGAGTATAAAGTGAAAACAAAAGAGACGGGCTGGCACGGTCAGGCGAGCAACGTGTGCCGGCCTTGACCGTCATCTTTCACCCCAGTTTATTGCTTTGTGGACCCCAAATGTGCGCCCTGCATCAGTAAAACCCCCAAGTTCTGTAAGCTAGAATGAGGCGCGTCACAGTGTTTACTCCACCCTTTCCAGGCACAGGTGGAGAGCGGGGAAATGCTCAGGGATGGGCGTCCCCTGCCCTGCCCCGCCCTGCCCTGCAGGACCTGAGCCCTAGGGACAGTGAGGTCTGGGCTGCCAGGAGGTGGGAAATGTGCCCAGGAAAGAGAGTGGGGGAGGCATCAGAGGACAAGCAGGGCGGGGAGACGGGCAGGAGGAGGTGAGGCATCACTCCGGCCGACAAGGCCCGAGCAGGCTGTGCTCAGAGACCCCAAGGGGCTGGCACACACCTCAACAGGCCACAGCAGATGCCTCCTCCAGGACAAATCAGGGGGCAGGGACAGGCGGGGGCTGGCAAAAACCCGGAAGGGGGTGCCTGTGAAGGTAGGAGGAGCAAAGATCTAGCCAATGGAGACCATGCCCACGCACCCCTGCCCGGAGCCAACATGCGGATGCTCTGCACGAAGCCTGGCCCCTGGCCCTCCACTTGGCTGTGCTCCCTGTGGTCTGTCTGTACACCAAAGCCAGTACTTAGTGACGTCGGATAAGGGAGTGAATGAGGGATGGATGAGCAAATGAACTTGTGCACAGATCATTTGTGGGATGAAGTCTGCGTTCAGAAGTATATGAATGGAAAAACATCAGTCATCGGACCCAAGGTCAAAGTCACGGGATGTGTCCCCCAACTCCATTTCTTGGCATCTGATGGACTGTGTCACTTCTGTGAGCCGTGGCTTCCTCATCTGAAATGGGGTCACAGGGCTACGGGAGGGCAGGCACCTAGTAAACGTAAAGCTCACAGAGCAGGTTGGGGTGGTTGTGACCCTTCATCATGCTCCCAGGACAGGGAGCAGACACCCTGCATCCTGGGCCCGCAGCAGGATGCTCTTCAGCCTCCTGGGGCAGAGCCCTCCCCACGGGCTTCCCATGGTCTGCCCAGACACCTCCACAGGCAGGACCGAAGCACAGAGCTAGGCTCTGGCAGGACCCTGACCGGGAACACACACATTCCACAGTGTGTTTCACCCTCTTTTCCATGTTTATAAATCAGAAAACTAATTACCCAGAAAAGAGTCTTCTGCACCAGAAACCCAAATGAGTTTAATGTATAATTTATACGTGAAAATGTAGACGTCACTGTGTGACAAACCGCTGTAAAAATATTTTTGCAGTTAAATTTTGAGACATCTGTCTTCCTCCCAGAAGAGCCACCATACAGACGATGTGAGGCCCCAGGGCCCAGGCCGGGAGGGGCTGGAAAGGCAACCCGTCCTTTTCACCAGCTAGTGGCACAGCTACCAGCGCAGCCTCCCTGGAAGGCCCCAGCCTCGGCACCAGACACGTGCAGCCAAGTCAGAGCTCTCCCTCCTTGGGAGTGTTTTGTTCAAAACAGGGATTTAACACTCTGTTGGCTCTGTGGCAGACCCAAGGATGGAAAACAGAATGGAGTGTGGCAGCTTTGAGTCCCCTGGGAGAGCCAGGCAAGCAGGGGACAAATGATGATGACAGCATGGTGAGTACTAGGGAAGGGCTGGGTCCTACACACCCAGCAGCTGCAGAGAAGCAAGGACTTCCCCGTGCCAGGAGCATCCCCAGAGGACTCCAGGGGGTGGGGGCTAGTCCTGGAGGAGTTTGTCGGAAGGACGGAGGCAGGCGGACATGAGCAACAGGAAGAACTACATGTGCAAAGGCAGAGGCTAGAGCAAGCAGGTTCTGATGGGTGAGCGTGGCCTGCAGCACACGGGAGGGACTGGCCAGCAGGGAGCCTGGAGTGGAGAGCAGGAGCCAGGTCACCCAGGGGCCTGTGTGCCCAGTCCAGAAACAGGACTTTGTCCTGGATTGAAAACTTTAAACAGACCACGTCTACACTTGACTCTGGTGAACAGCATGGAGGCCAAGAGGATGATTGCTGTGGGGAGCGAAGGAGAGAAGATGAACAGGCGTCGCAAACTGTCAAGTGCAGCATGCACGTCAAGTGCCACCCCAGCAGGGTCTTGAGTCCCCCGGTGCCACGCCTCAGCAGCCTGACTGCTTCAGCTGCACCTCCATTCACAGGTGCACCGGTCCACGGGCTTGACTGGCACCTGACTGCATAGAAACCACCCGAAACGTAGCTTGGAGCCTTGCTTCTTGTCTGCAGTTGCTGCTGCCATTAGGGGCTGGTCACTCACTGTGCAGGACATTCCCTGACACCCTCTCTCCGGATGCCCAGTGGGGCTCCAGGCACAACCCAAAGCATCACCTCACACGAGCCGAGGGAGGCGGGGCATGGTGCACGGTGCTGGCTAGCTGACATCCACTGGGGCGTGCACACCAGGGAAGGAGGAACTTCACATCTTGCACCCTGTCCCTCTGTCCCAGAACCACAGATGAGGGTCAAGAATACGCCCTCTCTCTCACCAGGCAATCACCAACTGTGTCTGAGCACAATCTGAGATCTCAAAGGTGTCTTCCAGAACTTGGGCCTCCCACAACAAGACAAAGCAAGTCCCCATTCCCCAACCCCCTGGGGGTCCCTGGGTAGCCCCCTCTGCAGCCTTGGAGCCCTACAGACCTGGTCAAAATATAGAGGCCTGGGCTAATGTTCACAGAAGAAGGGTTTCAAGCCCCCAGCCCTCATCACACCAGTGCCCATTTCAAAGAAGAACATAGCCTGGCATCAATAATTTTTCCACTTCCTGGGAGGCCAGGGTCGGCCCCTCAGTGACTCCCAGCCACATACCTCGCTTGACCTTTGGGGGCCTGAGGCCCTCTGCCTGGGCCAGCGCCTCCCAAGCCTCGCGGTCCCTCCAGCGCCTCAGCTGCTCCTCTCGCATTTTGTAGAAGAGGATGTGTTTCTGCACATCGCTGAGCTCAGCGAGGAGCGCAGGGTCGATGTACAGGTCATGCAAGATCTGCTGCAGCATGATGCCACCTGGATGCGCACGGCAGAAGGGCAGTAGCCAGGGGAGCCGGGGCAGGCGGCACACCCAGGCCCCTCCTCACCCCTGGCTCCTCACCCCCAGAGCCCCTTCTCCATGCAGCATCGTCACTCGGCCTCAACTCCCAGCCAGCGACAAACTCATCTCCTCTGCCCAGGGCAGCAACAGGGGCCAGGTAGCAGGAAACGGAGAGGGAGCCGGACCCTGCAAGGGGAGCAGCCACCAGAAGCAATCTAGTCCTCCTGTTGGGTCACCAAGCACCGCAGCCCAGCGCGCCTGTGTCTTGGCCTCCCCTGGAGTTCTGGGACAATGGGGAGAGGGGAAGCCTCCAGCTTCACAGGGCAATGCCCAGGCCCAGGCCCGCCTGGGTTGGCAGGTGTCGAGTGATCTGTTAGTGGAAGGTAACGATGACACCAGTTGTATCAATGACACTGCCTGGGCCAGCCAGGAACCGATCTCTCCTCCACAGGTAAGAGGAGGAGGCAGCTTCGCCTACTAATTCCATGTCTTTTCAGCCAACTTCAAACAGGCCAGAGGAGCCAGCCAGGAGCCTCCGGGCTCCTCAGCCTCTGCCCTGCCTGCTCCACCTTGCCAACCTTCTTTTCCAGGACACTCGGCATCCTGAGGTAATGCTTTTAAAACTGCCTGGGGGGAGGAAAGAGCTTTTCTTCTAACTGTGTTACAGCCTAGGAAGAAACCAGAATGGAATCAGTAGGGACAACTGAAGGAGCTTTATCACAGAATTCAGACACGGAGGCAGCGGCCGCCCTTTCCCCCTTCCCTGTCACAGGTTCTAAAGCTCTGCGTGTGCTCACACATCAACCTCCAGGGGTCAGTTTTGGTTGTTGTCGCTAACTGTTTGTTGTTTTCTGCGGGTGTCTGGAGGTCACTAAAAAGAATGAGACAGGGTCTTCTCTGTGCCTTGGATCTGAAGCGCTCCGGACAGAGCGCCGTGTTGCTCTCCAACGGCTCAGAGCTGCCGCTGCTGAGACCCAAAGCTCAGCCAGTAGGTGCTGAGAGCTCCTCACAGCTGCCCTTGACTTTGGACAAGGCCATTGGGGTCCAGGAAGGGTGAGTGACCTGCCTGTGGCTACCCAGTCCACACGTTTCTGCACAGGGACTCCACTCCGTTTTCAAATTGGACATCCACTGGCCACTGGATGAGTGTTTTGAAACTGGATGGCGTGAAAACCTAACCCGACCAGGAGAAAACAAACAGGGTTTGGCACTGTGGCCTGGTGGGACTGCTGGTCCTCGAGTCCCCCCCTCCCCATGAGGACCAAAGGGGGGTCCGGCACCCAAAAGTGATGGGAGGCAGCTGTGGGTGGGCGCTCTTCTCCCTCTGCAAGGCTCCCACAAAAGAGAGAAGGATCAGGCGGGTTCAGATGAGCTTTAAGCCCCCAGGGTCAAAAAGAAGTGTAGGGGGCCAAGCTGCCCCTCCCCAGGACTAGCTGGCTCGTCCCAGTGTGACCCAGGCCTTGGAGCCTTCCCACAGAGGCTCCAGCCCCCGCGACGCCGTGCTCCGGGCTCCCACCCTGCCCTCTGGTCTGTCCTCCCACCTCAGACCTCTCAGCGACTCCCGACCCGGCGTCCGGGCCTCCTCGGTTTCTCAGACGAGGGCTCCCCAGCCTCCTTGCCTCCGCACAGCTCGTTTTTCGTGCCCTGACTGTGGCCGGGTAGGCACCTGGAGCCCAGAGCGGAGACAAGGGGACGGAGGGCAGACGCGCGTCTATCCTCCTGCCGGCACCCTCCTTCCTTTCTGGGTCCCCAGACCCTACAGGAAGGAGCGGGCAGCGAGCACTGCACGGCGCAGCAGGAAGGGGCCGGCCTCCGCCGGAGTGGCGACGGGGTCATCCTCACTGACGGCAACGACACAGCTAGTGCCCCACGTTGTGCCGCAGGGGAGCCTCCCTGGCAACCCCGGGTCCGCGGGCGCAGCTGCCCGGGGGCGGATCTGGGCAGGGACGACGCGCTGGCGGGCGTGGGTGGGGGCTGCTCGGCCTCGGGCGCCCCCTGGCGGCGGGGGCGGGAGCCTGCACGTGGGGGGCCGGGGTCGCACTGGGCGGAGGGGCGGACACTGGGCCTCTTAACGGCCGGGACCCCAGGGGAAGGAGCTCCGCGGTTCTGGCTGAGGGTGAGGCCCCTGGGTATTCAGACCCGGTTTTCTGCCGCCTATCCACTGGTTTTGTTGTTTTCATTTTTCATTGGCCAGTGTGATGTAATTTTGCACGCTACCGCAGTTCCTTCTGGGCGGGAGGTGCAAGCAAGCTGTGTTGTGCAAGGGACTGGAAACCACCCGGATGCCCCTCTGTGGGGTGGGGAGCCGCCCAGAGCAGAACACGACATCTGTCACAAAGAATGGAGTCTATCTGCCTCCTGGGGCAGGGAAAAGGTCTACGGCAGATGAAATGAAAAGGCGACATGCAGAACTTTGTGCATAGTGTAATCCATTTTTTAAATTCTTTATGTCTAATTACTTTTATGTAGACAAAGGGAAAGACTGGAAGAGCACACATGCTTTCCTGCTTTCCTCTTGCAAGGGGTGGGGGGACCACTTTTACAAACGTCCTATTATTTTATACAATGAGCAAAGCATACTTATATAATTCATATGACTGAAATAAAATGTATATCAAAAGTCCTAAAATGCGACTCCAAAAAATTGGCCTCTAGAAGTGAGTGCTGCTGGGGCAGAGACCCACATGCACAGCCTTGTCCACACCACACCCACCCCCAGAGAGGGCCTTGCAGGCATAGCCAGACCTCCCTAGCCAGGAAGCCTACACTGTGGGGATGGATAGACCGTTCAGGTCCCCAGAGCTTCCTAAGCTGGAGAAGGACTTGGAGGCGTTTCTCAGAGATGGCGCTGGCGCTGGCACGGAGAGGAGACTAGAAGAACGGGACGCAGGGAGAACAGTCAGCGGGCTTTGGCCAAAGTCTAGGAGGGAGGTGACAAGGACAGTATGGGCACTGTCGGTCTTCCTGGGGCAGAACGGGGAGCCTTTCCTCATCCCAGAGCCTCCTGCCATGCAGCTCTGCTTCCACCGAAGATCCTTTTAAAACTTACATCGTGTCGTTCTCTGCTCAAAACCTCGCACGGCTCCCATTTCAGTCAGAGGCGAAGCCCACGAGGCCTCCCTCATCTGCCTCACCCCAGCCCCGCCCCGCTCTCCCTCCACCACAGAGCCATCCTGCCAGCCTCCTTGCTGTTCTGCAGACACACCAGGCTGTTCTCTCTGCCAGGAACCCACGTGGCTCACTCACTCCTTCAAATCTTTGCTCAAAGTTTTAACTCCTTTATACTCCTGATCCTCCCTTATTCTGCTGGATTTTTTTCCCTTCTCACTTACTTTGTAAGATACCACTTTACTTATTTGTTTGTGCTTTGTCTCTCTCTCCCTACTAGATAACAAGCACAAGGGCAGGTACTTCACCGCAGTTCTCAGTGCCTAGAACACTGCTTGATGAGGGGTGCTAGATGAGAGCTATTGGAGAAGAGAATGAATGAAGGAACTCTCCCAGTGGAGCTGACCAGAGCCTGTGCAGTGCTGGGGAGGTGTCCAGAACAATACTCTGGACAGAGGCTGCTCAAGACTTGGACCTGCGAGGTGTGGGCAGAGGGACTCAATCTGTGGGCCATCAGGTGGACCACCTGCCCTCGCTGTTCCCCCATGCCCTGACCACACAGCCACCTCAAAGGCAGGATCAACTGGTGGCCAGAGAACCCCATCATCCCAGCTGCAGGCACCCTGGGCACAGCCACCACATAAGGACAGGCCGCAGGAAGGCTCTCCTTACATCCCTCCCACCTCCCCTCCTCCCCTGGCACAGTCACCTGGGGAAGCTGCTCCCAGAGCCCCTTTAGGAGCTCACCTGGTCTCGGTTTTGCAATCCAAGGGCTCAGGGAAAGTCTAGAGTAGTTACTGCTTTGTCACCAGTTAAGCTCCACTGAAAAATCATGGCTGTAAAAATCGATAGTGTCCCTGTATGAGTACAACAATGACTTAGAAAATACAACAAGAAAAAGATCCCGTTCACAACAGATATGAAATACTGGAATGACTGGAACAGTGTGGGGACTCGTAGGAAGAAAGGTGAAAACCTTCACTGAGACATACCTAGGCGTTAAGCTGGAGTAGGAACACAGCACATTCACCCTCAGAAAGACCCAACCTGGGACATGTTCAGTTCATCTCTGTGTTAGCTGGTCTCCAGAGGGCTCCCGACGGTCCCCGCCTCCTGGCGTTCACGACCTTGTGTGGCCCCTCACACGTGTCAGGGTTGGTCTGTGTGATCAGCAGAAGATGCCAGAAGTGATGGTCTGTCACCTTGGAGATCAGATTATAAAGACATTTCAGCTTCCTTCCCGGGTTCTCTATCTCTCATCACTCACTCTGGGGAAACCATGTCGTCAGGCCCACATGGCAGGAACTGCAGCTTCCTGCCAACAGGCCCATGAGTGGATTGGCAGGGGATCTGGTCAGGAGAGATGGCAGCCCTGGCCAACGTCCCACTGCAGCCTCATGAGGGAGCCTGAGCCAGAGTGACCCAGCTAAGCTAGCTGATCCTAGATCCCGGACCTGCAGAAAGGGTATGAGGTATGTATATATATGCTGTTTTAAACTGCTAAACTTCAGGGTAATTTGTTATGTAGCGATACATAACTAATACAATCTCAAATTAATTTATATATTTAATACAATTTCAAACCTGAAAATGAATTGGGAAGTTGGGAGAGGTTTGATGATACCCGACTCAGCGGAAAGAATGAAAGATGAGTACAGCCTAGACTATTTCCTAGTAAAATAACGAGGAATACTGAACTCTACATGGCCAGTATTCACACTCATAAAATCAAAGATTTCAGTTCTGACAGAAGAACAAGCAGACTGACATGAGAAAACCCAGACACAGATCCAAATATATACATAATTATTTAGTATGTGATCAAAGTGGCAGTTATAATAGAGGGAACAGGATGGAGATTCATCCAATAAACAGAGCAGGAATAAACAGCTAGATCCTCGCCTGTTACCTGTGATCCAGCCAGGACATCCCTCAGTGGTTGTGGCCTCGGGGGTTCTGGGACATACATAATAATTACTGCAGCATTAGTCATAATAGTGCAAATTTCAAAATACTTGATGGGTTCAAGAAACGGGGTTTAGATGAGTAAATCATGGCACATCGGTAGGATAAAATGCCATACAGCCATTGAAATTGATATTGAGAATAATATTTGCTGGCATAAAAGGGTGCTTATGACGTATTCCTAAGGGAAAAAGCTGGTTGTAAAGTGTTATGTGTAGGATGGTCCCAGTTTCATGTATCAGGAAAAAGCATATTTTAACCCCCACTGCCTTCTAAGGAGAGTAAGCAGGTCCCATTAGAAGGAAAGGCCATGATCTTCTGGAAACCTTGCTAGGTTTGCATATGCACATTTGGGAGGCCAAGCTGTGGTGAGCTGAGTTGTTCCACATACACAGGGTTGGATATTGGGGTTCCTAAGCAGTAGAGCTGGCAGGGGAGGAAGAGATGGAGACGAGGCTGTGGACCACCCTGCCCTAAATCTTCATCAAAATGATTTAACTCACAAAACGCTTGCTGTGAGTAGGTATCTAATTTAGAAAAAAAAAAGTGAACTTTATCCAATTCTGCCAGGACAGAGGAATGACAAAACAGAGACTGCCAGGGGCACGGGAGTTGGAGGCACGTGGGCTGCTAGGAGCATGTTGTTGTTAGCGCCCCGAGTCGGACTCCTGGAGACCCTGTGCACAGCAGAGCGGAACCCTGCGAGGTCTTTCTGCACCACCCTCTCACCTTTATCAGACAGTGCTCCGCTGCCATTCATCGAGTTTTCATGGCTAATGTTTTCAGAAGTGGGTGGCCAGGTCCTTCTTCCTAGTCTATCTAGTCTGGAAGCTCCGCTGAAACCTGTCCACCATGGGTGACCCTGCTGGTATTTGAAATACCAGAGGCAGAGCTTCAACACCACAGCAACATGCAGCCGCCACAGTATGACAACCGACAGACAGGTGGTATGGTTCCCTTACAGG